GAGACAGATGACATTGGTGTGTTCACTGGACCCCAAATAAAATTCTACACTAGATTATGAATCAGGTATCTTGTGACCATGCAATTAAGAGCCAGGAATTAGTGAGGGGTCTCTAGGAAGATGTCCAGTTTATTAGTTTTTCTGTGGCTACTGGTTTTTTGTTTTTGTATGTGTGTGTGTGTGTGTGTGTATTAGTTAAGAAACTAAGGTGCCTGGCTGGCTCAGCTGTTAGTATGTGAGACTCTGGGGTGTCTGATCTGGTGATTGTGAGTTCAAGCCCCATGTTGGCTATAGAGGTCACTTAAAAAAAAAAAAAAAAGAAATCCCCCTGAAGGGGGAATCAAAAAAGAAGGAAGGAAGGAAGGAAGGAAGGAAGGAAGGAAGGAAGGAAGGAAGGAGAAAGAAAAGAAAGGAAAGAAACCTTTGCTCATCTCAATGTCATGAACCTTTCTCCCATGTTTTATTCTAGAATTAGGCTTTTAGTTTTCACGTTTTGGTCTGTGATCCATCTTGAATTAATGTTTGTGAATCGTGTGAGGAAAGGGTCAAGTTCACTTTTTCCATGTGGATATTGGATTGCTTCCATTTATTGAGAAGCTCGTTCATCCTTCCACTGAACTCTTGATATTTTTGTCATAAATCAAGTGACCATATATATGTGGTCTATTTCTGAACTCTTCATTGGAGCCCATTTGTCTATCTTTTATGCCAGTACAACTTTGTCACAGTGACTTTAGCTTTATGGTAAATCTTTAAATCTGGAGATCTCACTGGTCTTTTTGCCTCACTTCTGCCATGACTCCACTGGTCCACCATCATTGCTTGGTAGCAGTGAAACTCAATTGAATTCATCCTTCAAGGCATATCTTCAAATATACTCTTTACATCATAGGTTTCTTATCATTGTGATACAGAATCTCTCTCTCTCTCTCTCTCTCTCTCTCACACACACACACACACACACACTTTATTTTTTAAGTAGGCTTGAACTCGACCCCAAGGTCAAGAGTTGGATGCTCTACCATCTGAGCCAGTCAGGTGCCCCAGTTTAGTTAGTGTTTTTTTTTTCTTTTAAGATTTATTTATTTTAGAGAGAGAGAAAGAGAGAGCATGAGTTGGGGGGAGGGGCAGAGGGAGAGAGAAGCAGCCTCCTCTCTGAAGGAGCCCAACTCAGGGCATGATCACATGACCCTGAGATCATGACCTGAGAAATCAAGAGTTGGACACTTAACCAACTAAGCCACCCAAGAGCCCCTTAGTTTGTTTTATTTTTTTTTCATTTTATTTATTTATTCATGAGAGACACAGAGAGAGAGAGAGAGAAGCAGAGGGAGAAGCAAGCCGACTCCATGCAGGGAGCCCAACATGGGACTCGATCCCGGGCCTCCAGGATCATGCCCCGGGCTGAAGCTGGCGCTAAACCACTGAGCCACCGGGGCTGCCCTCCTTAGTTTGTTTTAAAAGAGACTTTTGGGGATCCCTGGGTGGCGCAGTGGTTTAGCGCCTGCCTTTGGCCCAGGGCGCGATCCTGGAGACCCAGGATCGAATCCCACATCGGGCTCCCGGTGCATGGAGCCTGCTTCTCCCTCTGCCTGTGTCTCTGCCTCTCTCTCTCTCTCTGTAATTATCATAAATAAAAAAATAAAAAATAAATAAAAAAAATAAAAGAGACTTTTGTAGGTGTCCAGGCAAAGATGGTGGTGACTTGGATAGAGTAGTGATGATAGATGAAGGAAAGAAGGTCTGATTCAGGGTAAGTTCTGAAGGTAAAGCTGACAGAACTTGCTGCTGGATGGAATGTGAAAGGAAGAATCAAGAGTAAGGTACGTTTTTGGTTGAAGTAAATAGTGCCATTTACTGAGATGGAGAGGGGCAGGGAAAGATTTGGGTGGTTGAAATTGAGGGGACATATTGTCATGGCCATCTTTGGAAATGACAGCCATGATGTTGTTTTAATTTACCAGCATGTAAAATGTGCCTTCCCCCAGTACATTTACAATGTACACTGAAAGAGAGAATGCCAGATTTATAAGCAAATTAATTAAGGACTTATTTAAAGACTTTATTTGAGAGAGAGAGAGAGAGCATGTGAGCACAAGCAGGGGAAGAGGCAGAGAGAGAGAGAAAGGGAGAAGCAAACTCTCTACTGAGCAGGGAGCCTGATGCAGGGCTTGATCCCAGGCCCCTGGGATCATGACCTGAGCCGAAGGCAGATGCTTAAAGACTAAGCCACCCAGGCACCCCTATTTATTTATTTTTACATAGCAGAATCTGGTCCAGCAACCATCACCCATTCTAGCTGTATAAAAACAGACTGGGGGCACCTGGCTGGCTCAGTGGGTAGAGCATGTGACTCTTGTTCTCAGGGTCATAAGTTCAAGCCCCATGTTGGGCATGGAGCCTACTTTAAACAATTTTTTAAAAATTAAAATCAGACTGGAAATTTGAGTTAAATAGAATTATTGAGGGAGAAACCTATCTGTGGCACCCCATTCCATGGGTACTAAGCCAACAGAAAGAGATTCCCCGGGGATCCCTGGGTGGCTCAGTGGTTTTGTGCCTGCCTTTGGCCCAGGGCGTGATCCTGGAGTCCCGGGATCGGGTCCCCCATCGGGCTCCCTGCATGGAGCTTGCTTCTCCCTCTGTCTGTGTCTCTGTCTCTGTGTGTGTGTGTGTTTAATAAAATCTTTTTTTAAAAAAATGAAGAGATTCCAAAAGAACCATCTGGAAAGATGGTGGAGGCTTGCAAGATATGAGGTAGTCACTGGAGCACAAATATTCTGGGGTATGTGGATGGGTTGTTCTTGAAATTGAGTGTGACCACTTGATTTGCTTCAGCCACTGAAATGTGAATGGCAAAACTTTTTCCCCATATAATCATTTTCGGAGCATCTTCCCAGTCCTTATGTTCTTTTATTACCTTCTTATCAGACCAATTTCCTTACAAACATGGTGGCCATGTTGTATTATGTGACCTTCTGCATGCCCTCAGATAATTGGCCCATGGTGAATGGTTGACTCAAACATATCTGATTGGGGCATCTGGATTGTCTCTTTAAGGATTGTGACACTGGCAGAGAGGTATTAGGAGTCTCTGTTGAGCCCTTGAAATGAGACCTCTAAGCTACCATTACCTCCTTGGCCTACCGCCACTTTTCGCTAGGAACGTTACGGTAGCCCTCTCCCTGGTTCTGCCTCCACTCTTATCCCTATAGCCCTTCCTCCACATTGCAGCCAGAGTAGTCCACATAGCAAATCCGACTGTGTTACTCCCCTAATTTAGACCCTCTTCTTTTTTTTATTTTTATTTATTTATTTATGATAGTCACAGAGAGAGAGAGAGGCAGAGACACAGGCAGAGGGAGAAGCAGGCTCCATGCACCGGGAGCCCGATGTGGGATTCAATCCCGGGTCTCCAGGATCACGCTCTGGGCCAAAGGCAGGCACCAAACCACTGCGCCACCCAGGGATCCCTAATTTAGACCCTCCAATGGCTTCCCCTTGGTCTTAGAATAAAACCCAAAGCCCTTGCCATGGTCCGCAATGCCTTTCATGGTTAACCCTGTTAACTTCTCTCCTACAGTCTCTCCTACATGTGTTCCAGCCACACTGGCCTTGTTCCACTCTCATGTAGCACTAGATTCCCCCTGCCACAGGGCCTTTGTACATGGGATCTCAAGTCAGGTGGAGAAGTTCATGTTTTAGGTCATGCCAAAATCATGAAAGTGTCTGCAAATAATAGAGAATAATTGACTTAGTGTATCTATGGCTGTATCACAGATATCCCCAAACTTCACAGCATAGAGCAATCATATTGTTATGCTCACAGAATTCATGAATCAGGAGTCAGGTTAGGACATCTCTCTGCAACATGTCATCAGGAACCTCAGCTGGATGCTAAGGCTGACTTGAATGACCCATAGAATCATATCTGATGCCTACACTGAATGATTTGAAGTCGACCTCAGCTAAGACTGTTAATTGTAGCACCCACCCATGGCCTCTGAGTGGGGTTGGGCCTCCTCATAGCATGGTGGCTTCTTACATGATGCTAATGATTGAGTGTTCCAGTAAGCAAGATGAAAGAAAGCATGTGGTGCAGAAGTCCAAGCTATCCTGCAGGACAGGCCACATGCAGGAGATCAAGATGCTCCACTTGAACTCCACAAAAATGCACCTGCATGAGGCATCAGTCAACACTGCATGGAGCAGAAAGCCACTCAACTGACCCATAGGAGTGTGGGAAATAAGAAACGGCTGTCATTGTAAGCTGCCATATTTTGTTAACCCAACCTTTGCTAGCAGAGATCCTCTTGGTTACATTCACCACAACAAATGTTTACAAAGAACAAATGGACTCTCTTTAAGTTCACTGAGCCATGCTGGTCTCTGAGTTCTCACCAGGAACCATCCTAGGCCCTAGGAAGCCAGCATTGCATAAGTGGGGTGGGTGGTCTTAGATATACACAAGCTACTTGCCAGTAGGGCGGTGCTCTTATAAAAGTTGCTGAAATGGTCCCAGGTCTGGGCAGGCTAACTAGAAAACAGTGAGCCCCCTGGGTGGACACAGTTCTTTTTTTTTTTTTTTTTTAAACTTTTATTTATTATTTATGATAGTCACACACAGAGAGAGAGAGAGAGAGAGAGAGAGAGAGAGGCAGAGACATAGGCAGAGGGAGAAGCAGGCTACATGCACCGGGAGCCCGATGTAGGATTCGATCCCGGATCTCCAGGATCGCGCCCTGGGCCAAAGGCAGGCGCCAAACCGCTGCGCCACCCAGGATCCCGGTGGACACAGTTCTAAGGACACATGGCTTGGAGAGTAGGCTGTTGGCTCTACTTGAGCCTCACTTGCCTCCTTGGTCAGTTGCCTTTGTGTAGTGAACAACCTGCACAATTTAAGGCTTCTGTTTTGTACTGCACCATTTTCCTTGTGAGGAGCACCCATTTCTTTCCTGCAAACCTCCATATATTTCAGAGAAGGTGATCAACTCCCTAGCTGAAGGGGGCAAAGATTTATTGATCTGAAGCTGAGCCAATGCCAGGGTCTTATTCCCTTTGGCTTATAATGGGTAATGTGGGCATGTGAGACACTTCCAGTCAATGAGATATGTATGTGTGGGAGGCAGTTGCTGGAGGGCTTTGGAATCTTTCCCTCACTCTTCTAAAGGGATGCAAGAACGAACCTTTTTTGTTGTTGTTGCTTCGTGAAGAGATTGTTTGCATGTGACACCTGGCTATGTGGCAGCCCTTTTGGACCATGAGGGAGCCAGCTGGTCTGAGAGCTGATGGCAGTTGAACAACCTGGATGGAACTGGAGTCACCAATGACACTGCTTGGCGGCTAACTTAACTAACCCCAGAGGTCCACTGCCTCCAGTCTTGTGTAAAACACATAAATATGTTATTTCAGGTCCCAGCAGAGTCACAAAACAAAAACAAACAAACAAAAAACAAACAAAAACCAAACAAAAAAAAATAAATACGTTATTTAAACAAGTCAGTTGTGACTTCTGTTACTTGCTGCCCAAAGCATTATGATGCCAGTGGGTAGTGTCCTGGTACAAGTAACAATACCAGCAAAGGAGGAGGTGCCAAGCGCGGCTAACATCAGTGCTTGAGTAGTGGGGAGAGGTCAGCTGCGATGCCCACCCACTCCGGCAGGAAGGCTGCCTCTGGCTTAAAGATTTTGAGGAAGGGGGAGTCGGGCAGCGTGTAATTGGCCAGGTAGATGGTCTCTCCACCGGCAAGGTAGGCAGCCCAGATCCCGAATGTCCCAATGGTCATGATGGTGTGGTTGCACTGGGTGAGCAATGCAAAATCCTTGGCTGGTGAGCTCTCGATGCCATTGCCCGCGAACACCACATCACCGCGGGAGGAGTTGATGTTCGCCCGACACCAGGCCATGCCATTGCTGCTGACCACAAAGATGGGAGAGTTGTAGCGAGTCCGGAACCAGTCCAGAGCCTGCTCTAGGTACCGCTGGTCGGCAACCACGCCCTTCCACACGTTTGGCATGACCTGCACGTAGTCCCCCCGGCGCACATGGACCCCCACGAAGGTGCCCGGCTGTCTTCCGTTCACCTGCAGGCCCCGCAGAAACTTCTGAGCCTCCTCCCGCACGTGGTCGTGCAGGGTGAACTCCCGCAAGATCTCATTGCGGAGGTGGTGGTAGAAGGTCCAGGAGCAGGGGTAGCCGGTGAGGCGCACGTACTCCCCCGGGATGTGGCGGTACTCCTCCTCCATCCAGTCGTTCAGGGGGTAGTTCTGCCACGGGATGCTGCTGGCCGTGGTGCCGTGCAAGACGGGGAGGGTGATTCTGAAGATGGGGGCCAGCGTGCTGTGCATCTCGGCCGGGATGAAGGCCGGCCGCCCATTCATCTTGGCCAGGGCGTACAGGGTGGCGTACTCACCCATCTGGTTCCCCAGGCGGCCAATTGCATTGATCGTCCACATTCCCCTGAGTGGGGGGCTCGTGGAGCTTTCTGTCGGCGCCAAAACCAGTGTCTCAAACTCCCACGTGGGTTGAATCTTCGCTAGCCGCTGCTGAAGGTGAAATATAGTGGAAGCCGTGAAGACAAAGAGGATGAAGTGGACCATGGGGAAGAAAGACACCTGACTGCTGAGCATGGCTGTCAAGGAAGGGAGAGCAGGGAATGTTAGCTTAGGGGATGGAGGCCCCGGGGCATTGTGTCAATGTGCAGATATTTTGTGGTTGTCTGCGCAGGTGGCTTTACTCTGTGTGTAAAGGGGTGTGAATACTTAGGTACAAGTGTGCAGGTATGTCTCTAGAGTGTATGCTATGGGGATGTATTTACATTGGGTTCAGATGTTCCAGTTTACATATGTAGATAAGTATTGTGTGTTTTCACACATGGCACGTGCATTGTATGAGTGTGCATATGGGTACCTGTACATTGTATACACACATGGGTGTGTGTGAATTTGTGTACATAGAATGGACATGTGTACATTGTATTGTACATATATACAATACAATATACATTGAATGTGTATATATGGTGTACTAGTGTGTACTCTATACAGTGTGCATGTATATATATACACACACGCATACTTATATATTATGTATATATACAATGTATGTTTGAATGTGGGTGTTTATAGCCTGAATATACATCCATGGGTGCCTATATATAGGGAGTACAAGTGTACAAACCTACTATTTACTTGGGAATCCTGTTTCTAGAGATGTCCATCTTTGCATGCCCTGCCTATCTATATTCCCTTTGAAGGGAAATTGCCTAACCCATCACAAATTCCACCACTTGACCTGCCTACCCTTCTGGCCATAGCCAGCTGGACCTGCGATAAGCACTGGTCTCCACAGTGGCTTTCCCATTTTTTGGTTATGATAAGTTGTAGGTTGGCTCTAAAAGATGAGTTGGCCAATTCTCCCTCGAATATTGTTACTAAAAGGTCATAAGGCAATTGGCAGGTGAGAGTTTGTTTTCCTCCTCTCAGACAACTGGGTGCCTAACATCCAGTTGAATTCAACAATTCAATTCAATTTTGACATTGCCTACTTAGATTTAGTATCAGATCCAACAAGTTATTTTTTTTAAAGGAAAGTTTTTTTTTTAAGATTTTATTTATTTATTTATGAGACACACACAGAGAGAGAGAGAGAGAGAGAGAGAGAGGCAGAGACACAGGCAGAGGGAGAAGCAGGCTCCATGCAAGGAGCCCAATGTGGAACTTGATCCTGGATCTCCAGGATCACACCCCAGGCTGCAGGCGGCGCTAAACCGCTGCGCCACCGGGGCTGCCCAGATCCAACAAGTTAAAGAGTTCAGCACCACTTCACACACCAACTGCAAGTCCTGAGCCATTCATACTTCTGACTAATATTATAAATTGGGGGCTCCAATGACCCCCTCCTTAGGTTTGATAATTTGCTATAATGGCTCACAGAATTCGGGAAGGCACTCTACTTACATTTACCAGTTTATTATAAGAGAAACAAATAACCAGAAGTACAATAGGGTAAGATCCAAAAGGAGCTTCTGTCCCCATGGAGTTGAGGTAGACCACCTTCCTGGCCCATGGGTATGTTACCAACTCAGAGGCTCTCTGAAACCCACTTAAGGGGTTTTATGGAGGTTTCATTATGTAGACATGATTGATTAAATTATTGGTCACTGGTGATTAACTTAATCTTCAGTCCTACCCTCCCCAGAGGTTGGGAGCTGGAGATGAAAGTTCCTTTTACATATATATATATATATATATATATATGATTTTATTTATTTATTCATGAGAGAGAGAGAGAGAGAGAGAGAGAGAGACAGGTAGAGACACAGGCAGAGGAGAAGCAAGCAGGTTCCATGCTGGGAACCCAACATGGGACTCAATCCCAGGTGTCCAGGATCACATCCTGGGCTGAAGGTGGTGCTAAACCACTGAGCCACCCAGGCTGCCCTGAAAGTTCTAATCTCTTCATCAAGCTTGGTCTTTCTGATAATCAGATCCTGAAGCTTTGTAGGGGCCTGTGAAGAGTCACCTCATCAGGGCAAAAGACACTCCTATCACCCTATCACTCACGAAATGCCAAGGATTTTATGAGTCATGTGCCAGAACTAGGGACAAAGACCAAATATTATTGTGTGAGACCATAGCAGGTGATGCTGAGAAAGTAGGGGTTGGAGTGGCTGCGACATGTCAGATGCAGCCTGAAGCAGAGGCAGTCAGTAACTAGGAGATGCTTGAAGAGATGTGCAGAAACTTAAGAGAACTGACCAAGAAAACTCAGAGAAAAATTTCTTTATATTCAAACAAGTATACAACCTATTCTTTTCAACTCTGGTTGCAACAGAAATAAGTTCCAGGAGTGGGGTGGTTGCTTTGAACAGACCTTCTGAGAACACAGCATTTACTGTAGTATCATAGGAAGTAGGGGGCATTGAAGATTCCCCATTCCAGGACATAAAACTTGGACCAGTGATTTGTAGAGTGAAGTAGTTAATTAAGTTCCTTCTTGAGACCCCTGGAACAAAGGCCCCAAAAGGCCTTGAAGATATGGTTGTTGAGGATAAGCAAGACAGCTGAAAATAAAAAAAAGCAGGGGATGAATTGGTTCTGTCTCCCCCATTATGTGGCTAAAAGCCAGTAGGGACAAACAGAACAAGCATTGCTTAGGATGATCACAGTTAACACTTTATTATTGCTGAAGATTGCATCCATAAATTATTGATGTCATTCTGCATCTAGGCTGGAACAACACCTGGACCATGTTGCCAGAGTAAAAGTCCAGGTTTGGCCACTGATCAACTTTGGAATTGGAATAATGAGAATGGGGATATATGAGAGGAGTCAAAGGAATGAGACACTTCTGCTTCCCCAGTTCTTTCACAGACTTCCCTCTTCCTTCCCTGTGAATATGAGGTTCCCACCCATTCTTTTTTTTTTTTTTAAGAATATTTATTTATTTATTCATGAGACACAGAAAGACAAAGAGAGAGGCAGAGACAAAGGCAGAGAGAGAAGCAGGCTCCATGACGGGAGCCCAACAAGGGACTTGGTCCCAGGTCTCCAGGATCAGGCCCTAGGCCGAAGGCGGCACTAAACCACTGAGCCACCCGGGCTGCCCAAGGTTCCCACCCATTTTTTTTTTTTTAGATTTTATTTATTTATTAATGAGAGAGAAAGAGAGCGCGCGGCAGAGGGAGAAGCAGGCTCCATGCAGGGAGCCTGACGTGGTGCTATACCGCTGAGCCACCCGGGCTGCCCCCCACCCATTCTTTTTAAAACTTTTCCTCATGAGCAGGCTTTAATCGAAGCATATCCTGGAGGCTCTGCACAAAGGTAGATTAGAGATGAAATGCTTCTGGTTGACTTGGTCCAGGGCTTGTGTTCCTGGTCAAAATACTGAACCAAGTGGCCATTAAGAAGAACACCAGGGCTAAATCAAGCAGTACATGACCTCTTTCAACCTGGGAAGCTGCCAGAAGCTATGCAGGTATGGTGCTTTATGATTAATTATAGCTGATAAAAGTTGGCACAGGACTTAATATAGCAATATCCTTGTTTCTAAGTCACTGCCGACCTCATAACCCATTAAGATCACATGCATTATCTTTCTGGAAGAAATTCAGGCTTGTCAACTAGATGCCTAGATTTGAGTTGAACCAACTCAGGTGGGGGTCTGGGCCCCTGGGTCATCACCAGATGTTGAGCCTAACCAGAAATGAACTCCTGGGTGGTACAATCTCCTCCAGCTCCCTTCAACTTGAATGAAAGGAGCCAGGGAGGTTGGATTTGCTGAATAAAATTCACTGTACAGTTCAGCTGATGCTCAGGAGATTCTCAGTCTTACTAGTCAAAAGTTCCAGATTCCTTCCTCATCACCACTGAAAGTAAAGCCTCTGTTCCAGAAGCCCAATATGGAATGTGCTTCACTCAGTGACTGAGAGGACTCAGCTCAGTGGCTAAGTGCACACATTCTGGTCACAGGCTGTTGATTGCAGGCTCCACACTCATTAGCTATACTGATTCTGTATGAGTAACTTCACCTTTCTGAGGATTAAAACTACCTGGCTGGAGGACAAAAACAATACTTTTTAATATTATCATATACAAAACAAAGAGCATTGTCCTGTGTGGGCTCTGGGCCAGCGACCAGTAGCTTTCCACTTTTCATATTGGGTGTGTCAGTAATGGCCACATCTAGCATTTAGGTCATAGAATGTAGCCCCATACCATAAATGTAGATATGCTGGATCAAGCTGACTCTGAGGATTGTCCCTCTGTGGAGTGGGTGACTATGTGTGATTCTACTAGTTAATGTTTGATTTTTTTTTTAATGGAGTTGAGGGTATGAGATAAAACATATGTGTGATGGCAATCAAGGAATGGATTGTATTAAGATAGTACATTTTTGCTCATCCAACCCACAGACTTTGTGTGTTATTTGTTGGATCGTGTCTTTCTACAAAAGGTATATTGGAATCCTAACTCCTGATGGTACAGAATATGACGTTATTGGGAGACACATCTTTACAGAAGTGACCAAGTTAAAACAAGGTCATCCTAAGGTGGATTCTAATCCGACAGGATCGGTGTCTTTACAAAAAAACTAAAACACAGCCCACAGTGTATCATAAGATATTGGTCCAAGGCTGGTCTATTTATTGTCGGTTCATGATGTGTGAGCATGGTGGTGGTTCAAGAGGCTAATCTGTATCAAGTAGATTCTCTCCCTTGGGAATTTGAAGTAAGAATCACAGAGAGGGTGGTTGGTTGGCACCAGCCAACCAGCTGGTGGAGTGTAGGCTTGGCAACTAAAGGGACTGTTAGAGCCCATGTGCAGCCATGGCAAGCCATATCTAAGGTGGACCAGAAAAATCCATGAGTACAGTGAATTCGACCCTGAGAATAAAAAGAAAGAGGATATTGAGGGAGAGATGGAAAATATCACTGTGTCCCTGATGGCTTCTTGGTTCCTGTTTCAAGGCCACTTGCAAGATACATTTCTGTCCAGATCCCAACAGGGGTCTTCAAGACCCTGCCCTGACTCTGGATAGAAGGACCTCTCTGGAGACTGGGAAGCAGGAGGAAGTGGGGAGAGGGGACACCCAAGGGAGGAGGAGGGAAGGCTCCCTGTGGAGTGGCCTTGTATGCTCTTCCCACTTCTTCTAGATGTTTTCTCTCTTCCTTTCTCCAATGAGACCATGAGCATTTGAAGGGCACAGAGTAGACTTGGCTCCTCTGTCTAGTTCCGAATTTGCCAAGCACAGGATGTGGGACAACAGGGGCCAAGGGGAATTCTTATGGGAAGGCAGAAGGATGGAGGGAGGGAGGAAGGAAGGGAGGAGGGAGGCGATTGATGGAAAAAGAGACAGGAAAAGATAAAGAGAGGGAACTAGACAGAAAGACAGGGACAGAACGAGAGAGAGAGAGAGAGAGAGAGAGAGAGAGAGAGAGAGCAGGAGGAGAGACAAACAGGAATAGAAAAACCACAGGAGAGACAGTGAGAGAGAAGAGAGGGAGAGTGGTGGCTCAGTCGTTTAAGGGTCTGCCTTCAGCTCAGGTCATAATCTTGGGGTCCTGGGGTGGAGCCCTGCATCCACTCCCTGCTCAGTGGAGCCTGCTTCTCCCTCTCCCTCCACTGCTCCCCTTGCTTGTTCTCTCTCTCTCTCTGTCAGATAAATAAATAAAATCTTAGGATGCCTGGATGGCTCAGTGGTTGAGAGTCTGCCTTCGGCTCAGGGCGTAATCCCGGAGTCCTGGGATCCAGTCTCGCATTGGGCTCCCTGTATGTAGCCTGCTTCTCCCTCTGCCTATGTCTCTGCCTCTGTGTGTGTGTCTCTCATGAATAAATAAATAAATAAAATCTTTTAAAAAAGAGAGGGAGAGAGAAATAAGGCAGGCAGGATGGATCTTTGTGCACTCAGTCCAGCTCTGGCCCCTGTGTTGTCTCAATTCTGTGTCTCCCAGTGAGTCCCTGTGGGGATCATTCAGTCCCAGTGTCCTGATCACACACACAGCTCTGTGAAGGAAGGGACAGTGTCGGTCTCACTCCCTTGGTATCCCCTGCAGCCCCCAGACATGGGGGTCTACACATAGTAGGCGCTTAGGAAATGTATGCAGAAGGAATGTGGGTCTGTCTCCACCTGTCAAAACCCAGTCACGGGCAGCCTGGGTAGCGCCGCCTTCAGCCCAGGGCGTGATCCTGGAGACCCAGGATCGAGTCCCGCATCAGGCTCCCTGCATGGAGCCTGCTTCTCCCTCTGCCTGTGTCTCTGCTTCTTTCTCTGTGTGTGTTTCTCATGAATAAATAAATTAAATCTTAAAAAAAAGAAGAGAAAGAAAGAAAGAAAGAAAGAAAGAAGGAAGGAAGGAAGAAGAAGAAAGAAAGAAAGAAAGAAAGAAAGAAAGAAAGAAAGAAAGAAAGAAAAAAGAAAGAAAAAGACCCAGTCAGGCTCCAGCTGTTGCTTTTCCTCCTTATAGCAAGTGTCTGCCAAAGTCTCCCTGCCTTGACTTCCTCTCTCTCTTTTTAAAGATGTTATTTATTTGAGAGAGAGAGAGACCACTTGAGGGGGTAGGGGTGCAGAAGGAGAGGGAGAGGCTGACTTCCCGCTTAGCCGGGAGGCCTGACTATGTGGGACTCCATCCCAGGACCCCCTGAATCATGACCTGAGCCGAAAGCAGACCCTTAAACGACTGAGCCATCCAGGTGCCCATCCCTTTTTGGTTTTGAATCCATTTCCTGGCACCAAGTGAAGTGATGAATTTTGGAAGGAAGACCTTCACAATCAAACCTCTTAATCTCTGGGCTGGCCCTGAATATCCCCTTGAAATTTGTTTACAGCAGACAGACAGACAAACAGACAGACAATAAGGCTAGTTTTGCTTGGGTTAAAAAGGCAGAATGTATTAGAACAGCGTCTCTCAGCTTTCTTGGTGGTTCCCTCCTTCCTCACTCAGGAAGAGGGACGGTCCACTGCTGAGGGGCCTAAGGGAAGCACCTGCAGATTTTGACCCCCTGTCCTTGAACAAGGCTGTGGGGAGAGGAGGCAGGGAGGCTCACAGGGCAAAGGAAACCCAGTGTCTGGGAGTGGGGGCAGATCTGGAGAGAAGCTCAGGGGGGCCAGGGGGCAGCCATTAGCCTCATATTGGCTGCAGGACCTTGACTGAGGGCCTTTCCCTCTGAGTGCTGTTATCCAAAAGTTGGGGATAATAATACCTCTTCCCAAGGCTGTGTGGGCACAATAGGGATTAGGAAATCTGAAGTGAATGCTTAAGAGCATGGGCCAGGCCTGCAGCTCGGTGTAGACATGCCTATTTGAAAGCAAAGGCAAAGTGAGGCTCAGACTCATCAGAGAGGGGTCTGGGGGACAAGCGTGGGGAAAGGCCAGGGCTGGGGCACAGAGGGGGCACAAGGAGACTGGGAGAGCAGCTGGCCCGCCTGACCTCCATAAGGAGATTGGGAGGATGCCACAGCCAGCAACCAAGAGCTGGGAGTCTGGAAAGCTTTGCTGCTTGGAGTGAGTGGGATCTCTCCCTAGTCCTGGAGATCCGGAAGCCCACCTCCTTTCCTCATTCCCCACAGCTGCATAGGGCACTTCAGGGCAGCCGAGGAGGGAGGGGCAAGATCGAATCCCTTGGCAGGGGTCCCTCAGACACTCGCAGGAGGACAGAATAGAAAGGGGGCCCCATTTTCAAAAGAGGAGCCCAGCTTGCAGGTCCCTTGGAAAAATGGGGCCACCCATATCGGCCCATTATTTCTTTTAAACTCTGTCTCAGGGCAGCCCTGGTGGCGCAGCAGTTTGGTGCCACCTGCAGCCTGGGGTGTGATCCTGGAGACCTGGGATTGAGTCCCACATCGGGCTCCCTGCATGGAGCCTGCTTCTCCCACTGCCTGTATTACTGCCTCTCTCTCTGTGTGTGTCTATGAATAAATAAATAAAATCTTAAAAAAAAATAAAAATAAACTCTGTCTCAGATCCCAGGCCAAGCCTCATCCCCTCTGTCCTGTCCCCTCCCCTCTGGAGCCTGGTCCAGGGCTCCTTGCATCCCCCACGCCCCATCTGTCCCCTTCCCCCAGAGCTGGCCTGGCCCCCTCTTCAGCCCTGGGGCACCTGGAGCTGGGGGGGGCCTCTGGAGACCCCTGAGTCCTGTGGTAGAGTCCTACTTCAGTCCCGGAGGTAGGGGAGCAGACCCCGAGAAGCAAACAGGAAACTCGAGTCCAACAGGCCCTGCCCCTGGTCTTTGGTGTGCAAAGTGATTCTCAGGTAGGTTCCAGGAAACTGGCGACCGGAGGGAGGGAGGTGGCTGTCTGGGGCGGGGGAGGGGACCGCGGGGGTGATAGGGGAGGCTGGGACCTCAGGTACCAGATCGGCCCGGAGGGAAGGGGAGGGGAGGGGAGCCCAGCGGGGGCGGCGGCTGAGGGGCTAGGGGCAGGGGTGGTGGGCTGTGACGGATGGCCCTCTGCTCCTGCAGCCCCGGGGCGGGGGCATCCCAGAGGGGATCCCGAGTTCAAGCGGGTCCCAGCTCCAGTCCCGTGCGCGCGCGCGCGCGCTCTCGGGGGTCGTGGAGAGACCCCCCCCCGGCGCCCCGTCTCTCACCTGGTTCCGGCTGCGGGAATGGGGAGCTGACGGCGAGGTTGCTCTGCGAGCAGATCGGGGTGCTCCCTTCCCTGAGGACGACTCTACGCTCAAAAATCAGAACCGCCCAGCACCCAAGTCCGGAAGACCCCGCCCAGGACCTACCTGGCTCGGGGAGCCGCGGGGAGGTGGGAGGCTGGGCTTCTGCGGCCAGGTGTGCCCCGAGCCACTCCTCCCTCCCCCACGTGACTGTTGGGACACAGGCCTGGGAGGCCGACCCGAGGAGGAAGAGGCGGGGGAGGAGGGAGAGGAGGAGGGGGGAGGAGGGAGAGGAGGAGGACTCCATCCCCCTGGGCCAGGCTCTTCCAGACTTGGGCCCCCTCAGGGTCCTACTTTTATTGATTTTGGCAACAACTAGCATTTCCGTGCCTAGCAGCCTCAGCCCGTCTTCAAAATTCGGTGAGGTGGACACTCAGCAGCGACCCTCTGAGCAGCGCTGCGGTACCGAGTGGAGATACCAGGGCACAGGCAGGAATGATCGCACCAGGTCACACAACTAGGAAGTCCGAGAAGCTGGAGATTGAAACCAGACAAGCCAGAATCTTGGAAAACACCTGGCAAATACCAGCTCCTCTCACTTTCCCTTATCTTACAAAAGATTCTCAGGAAAGGAGAATCCCCTAACAGTACGTTAGAAGGACAGCCTATGCCTGTCTGCCGCTGCCAAAATCAAATGTCAGATCAAGGAGGAATTTTGCGGGCACCTCCAGAGCTCCCAACAATCCTAACACTGAAAGAGGGGACAAGCAGCAACTGAGTGAGGCGACAGGAGGCCTGCTGCACAGCCTCTGAATCTCACACTCCACATCTTCACTGCAGAAGAGGAATCTGAATCTGAAAAAGCCTCTCCGGGTGATGGCCAGCTCTCAGAAAACAGGAGGACAGGGACGCCTGGGTGGCTCAGCAGTTGAATGTCTGCCTTTGGCTCAGGGCATGATCCTGAGGTCCTGGGATCGAGTCCTGCATCGGGCTCCTTGCTTGGAGCCTGCTTCTCCCTCTGCCTGTGTCTCTGCCTCTCTCTCTCTCTCTCTCTCTCTCTCTCTCTCTCTCGTGTGTGTGTGTGTGTCTCTCATGAATAAATAAATAAAATCTTTAAGGAAAAAAAAGAAAACAGGAGGACAGAGTTGCCAGTGAATCGATACCACAAGGGTGCCATGAGCCAAGTCCAGAATGTGGAACAATCTGCAGGACCACATGACCCAGCTTCCCCAACATTGGAAAAAAAGAAGAAAAAAAAAAAGAAGAAGAAAAGAAAAGCAAGGGGAACCTTATAACATACACAAAGCAGATCCTAAGCTCAGAAATGCATAAATTTTTTTTTAACCTATATGGATGTCTGACAGGTTAGCCAAAAAGTCACCGGGATGCAGGACACGTCTTCACAATGTAATATTTAGCAGCCTCAGTACTCAGTCACTAAACGCTGTGGTAACATCGGACAACCACAAGTAAAAATGCCCTGCGGATGCCCAGAATGCCCCCCACCCAGGACAGGACTCCCCAGCTGAGGGCTGCTGTTCTGCTCCTTTAGTGCTCCTGCTGGAGAACCAGGGGTGGGTGAATGCTTAACAACCAGCTCTCTGGGGTAGAGGGGTGGGGGGATTGGGGGAGTGGGGAATCCCTGCTTGGTAGCATTTGCCACTTTCCGTGGGGTAAAGACTCCACCCTCACCCCCAGCCAATTTCAAGCAACCAACCCCTCACTGAACACAGAATTGGAAAGAGATACACAGCGAGACACTGATTTATAATACCTTGTAAACAGAATATCAATAACTTCAAGATAGTAGCAAACTAATCAAATAATCAGAGCTGAGGCATTCAGAGCCTTTATTACCTTCGGTTTGATATAATGTATTCAACTATGATGTATTTTAATTCTACATTTGATTCTGTGCTTAAAAAGCAACATGGAAACTGAACCACTGGCTGTCTTTTTTTTTTTTTAAGATTTTTATTTATTTATTCATGAGAGACACAGAGAGAGAGAGGGAGAAGCAGAGGGAGAAGCAAGCAGACTCCATGCAGGGAGCCCGACGTGGGACTCGATCCTGGGTCTCCAGGATCACACCCTGGGCTGAAGGCGGCGCTAAACCGCTGAGCCACCTGGGCTGCCCCTGGCTGTCTTTCCAGAGCGGCCACCACCGCTTGGGATCTATCCTTGTCCTGGTGTTTCTGATTGGAGTGTAGGCACACCTCGGGCATAATGGGGGTCAGGTTGTGGACCACCACAAAAATAGCAAGTATCGTGGGGTGCCGGGGTGGCATGGCCTGTTGAGCATCCGGTTCTTGGTTTTGGTTCAGGTCATGATCTCGGGGTCCTGGGATGGAACCCCATGTTGGGCTCTGTTCTCAGTGGGGAGTCTGCTTGAGATTCTCTCCCTCTCCCCCTCCCTTATTTCCCCCCCAAACACACACACACTTTTTCTTCCTCAAATAAATAAATCCTAGGGGACACCTGGGTGGCTCAGCGGTTGAGCGTCTGCCTTCAACTCACGGGATCCAGGATCAAGTCTCCTATTGGGCTCACTGCATGGAGCCTGCTTCTCCCTCTGCCTGTGTCTCTGCCTCTCTCTGTGTCTCTCATGAATAAATAAATAATCAATCAATCTTAGGGAACACCCGGGTGGCTTAGTGGTTGAGTGTCTACCTTTGGTTCAGGTCGTGATCCCAGGGTCCTGGGATTGAGTCCCGCATTCTCCCTCCACTTATTTCTCTGCCTCTCTCTGTGTCTCTCATGAATTAATTAAAAAAAAAAAAAGTGGAGGAAGGGGAGTGCTGATATCTCTGTCACTCTATCTCTTCACTATGGCCCAATGCAGGACTCGATCCCAGGACTCCAGGATCATAACCTGAGCCGAAGGCAGACACTCAACTGCTGAGCCACCCAGGTGTCCCAAAAGCCACTGTATTATATGCTTAAAAGGGCAAATTGATGACTGCCGTGTCAGCCTGTGATACGTCTGTCCTGTCCCAGAAGCCCTGATTCCTGTTCCTCCCCCACACACCCAAGCCCTGGTAGCCTTTACTTTGACCTCAGACACCAAGGTTTAGGAGGCAAAAGAAAAAAAAGTTTTCAACGAGTCGCTTGCACTTGAACCCCTGTACCACCCTCACCCAGACAGCTCCTTTGCAAGTTGAGAGTCAAGGTTAGCCTAACACTTCCTGAGCCACCAGGAACTCCCATAATCCTCTGTCCCTAGTCACACCTCAGGACATAGTTTTATGATTGTTCAGCACTTGGAATGATTATAAAGCAATAATAATGATAAAAAAATGTGGGGACCCTTGGGTGGCTCAGCAGTTTAGTGTCGTCTTCAGCCCAGGGCGTGGTCCTGGAGTCCTAGGATCGAGTCCCATGTCAGTCTCCCTGCATGGAGCCTGCTTTTCCCTCTGCCTGTGTCTCTCATGAATAAATAAATAAAAACTTAAAAAAAAAAAAGATAAAAACAACATCTGGGGACGCCTGGGTGGCTCAGTGGTTGAGTGTCTGCCTTCAGCTCATGGTATGATCCCAGGGTCCTGGGATCCAGTCTCCTCATCGGGCTCCCTGTGGGGAGCCTGCTTCTCCCTCTGCTGGTGTCTCTGCCTCTGTGTGTGTGTGTCTCATGAATAAATAAATAAAATCTTTAAAAAACCTAAAAAAAAAAGTCTTTAGAAAATATAAATAAATTTAAAAAATAAAAACAATATCTGGAATGACTATAGGCCCTCTGAAGGCAGGAACCCTGACAATGTTATTTATAGCTGTAGATTATCAACAACCATAACTTACTTAATCCTTCCAATCGAAGGAGGTGGTCACTATCAGCTGAGGCCCAGAAAAGTGCAGCTGCTTGCCCAAAGCCACACAGCCTATAAGTGGCAGAGCTGGGATTTCATCCTGAACCCAAAGCTCCACCCCCTCCCCCTTTTTTCCCAGGAAATGGACAATCACTAGTCACCAGTGACAGTGACTCTAGCCTCCTCTGTAATGGGTACTGATTGTAAACAAGGTCCGGTTGAAACACTTGTTGCATCTCCATGAACACTGGTCCATGTCTTCTTGGCTTCTGGCCAACATGCTCAGAGGAAGTCCAGCCTGTCCTGCAGGAGAGAGGATGCCTGGCCGTCCCCACCAAGCTCCTTGCTGTGTAGCTGCCTGAGAGACCTCACACACCACACGGAAAGAACCACCCAGTCGATTTACATCATTGTGGGAAATCAGCAATTCTGCGCTGAAAGCCATTACGTTTTGGGGTGGCTTGTTACACAGCATTAGCTAATGAAACACCTCCCATTAAACTGACACGTCCCTGAGAGCAGGAAATGACTCCTTCCTCGGTCCCCACTCTCTAGAATGTTTCCTGGCAGATAGCAGGTGCTCTATACATATTTGTGGAAAGAAGGAAGGGGGAAGGCAGCCTGGGTGGCTCAGCGGTTTATTTTTTTTTTTTTTAATTTATTTATTTATGATAGTCAGAGAGAGAGAGAGAGAGAGAGAGAGAGAGAGAGAGAGGCAGAGAGAAGCAGGCTCCATGCATTGGGAGCCCGACGTGGGACTCGATCCCGGGTCTTCAGGATAGCGCCCTGGGCCAAAGGCAGGCGCCAAACCGCTGCACCACCCAGGGTTCCCGGCTCAACGGTTTAAAAGCCTGCCTTCAGTCCAGGGCGTGATCCTGGAGACCCGGGATCGAGTCCCACGTTGGGCTCCATGGAGCCTGTTTCTCCCTCTGCCTGTGTCTCTGTCTCTCTCTCTCTCTCTCTCTCGAATAAACTATTAAAAAAAGAAGGAAGGAAGGAAGGAAGAAGGGGAAGGAGAGAGGATAGAAGGAAGGAACAGATTTTCAGAACTCCACCTCCTGGCTACCTGGGTGGCTCAGTCCTTTGGGTCAGGTCCTGGTCCCAGGGTCCTGGGATGGAGCCCCGCATCGGGTTCCCTGCTCAGTGGGGAGTCTGCTTCTCCCTCTACCCCTCCCCACCTGTTCATGATCTCATTCTCTCTCTCTCAAATAAATAAAATCTTAAAAAAAAGAAAAAAAAAAGAACTCCAACTCCTGCGATCACGCCCATGAGATATAAGTGAAGCTGATAAGCACACCAGCCTC